CAGGGCCGCAGCGCCGAGCGCCCGGCTAAAAGGAACTGCAGCAACAACGTCACAGCACCCTCACCTTTCTTCAGCACAAGAGTGCTGAACTCGAAGCCTCCATTTTTGAACAAAAGGTTTCACAAAAAACGCCTAGGATTAATAGTAAATTAGCAATTTTATAGCAATTTATGTAAGCATTGCTAAAACAAAAGAAAATTTCCCTACTCTGTAAATTCTACACTGCTCAGTTTAAAGGTGAAATACCGGGGGGGGACACAACACACATATAGGAATTAGTGATTTTGTAATTTCCCTATGCGACTGAATCAGATGAGAGACGCAGCCTCCCGCGTTCAGGAGCGGACATCTTCAGCTATAACGAAGGAAGGAAGAACAACCTCAGGGCTCGGCTGGGGCACAGCCTCAGCCGCCCCGTCAGCCTGCCCGCCGGCAGCTGGGAGAGAGCAGAAAACGAAACAGAAAAACGCTTCTCTCCTTAAAAAGGCCAAAGCAAGCTAACAGCTTTTTGAATTTCCTGGATGGCGCCTCTAACGTCTCTCTTCATCCTCACCAAGCCCCAGTCCTTCCTGGAGCACCTGGGCGCTGCTTTCCGCTCGGCCTTTCATCTTTCAGAGACCTGCTGCCTTTCAACGACAGCAGGGCAGCCTAGCTCCAGCCGGACTTCGCCAGCACCGCGCTCTTTGGGTTTCAGTTTTACAGTCCTGTTCCTGGAAACGCACGTGAAGCCCCAGCTCCGTTAACGGGGGCTTCTGCCACAGGCACTGGCGCAGCCACACGATAAAGCTAACGGATCTGTAAGCAAAGAAGTCATTTATGGAGTCTATTAATGGGACAAAGCTGCTTCTCTAGCTAGGTGCAGGTAATCTAAACACAATTCAGTTAACTGTAAATATTTAAAGTGGATGGTAAATCTCACAGCGATAAATTAATCTGATATTTGGTTAAGAAATTCTATTGCTTTAAACAAACAATGTTCCAACAGGTCTCAAACAGCTTGTCAAATATACCTTTAATTATTATAAAGGGAAACAAACGTGCTATACTGGAAGTTGTACTAAAGGAAACATGGCTTCATCCATCCCAGACAGGGAGAATAAACACTTAATGAAAAGCAAAAAAGGTCAGTTCATTCAGAAACATTCGAGCCAGCGCCCTATCCTGTTCAGAAAACGTGCCCTCCTATAGGTCTAGGCAACCAGCCCCGTGCTTCTGCTAATCTGAACACGGATATTCAATAAATAAAGGCATAATACTACCAATGACAACTAATAACCCCCAGTAAAAATTAGAAGGATTAGGAGAACAGCAAAGACGCATCAATCTCGCACTGCTACCAAAGGATCCGAGCAAACGCTGCAATCTGCATTAATGGTTTGGTACTGGAGGAAATAGCACGCAGTGCCAAAGCAGTATTAACGGATCTCAGGTTGTGATGTTTGCCTCAGGCGGTATTCCCATTTCTTCTGCCTTAGGAGCTGCAGTCAACTGGTGCAGTGCTCCTCCCGGTGCCCGGACAAGCTCTCCCTTCCCGTGCCCGGACAAGCTCTCCCTTCCCGCGCTCCTCCCGGTGCCCGGACAAGCTCTCCCTTCCCGTGCCCGGACAAGCTCTCCCTTCCCGTGCTCCTCCCGGTGCCCGGACAAGCTCTCCCTTCCCGTGCTCCTCCTGGTGCCCGGACAAGCTCTCCTTCCCCCCAGGTTCTGCTCCTCCTAGCAGCTCACAGTAATTATGGAGAGGAAGTTAAGAGATATCTGAGACTGACTTTGCAAACTGCCAAGTTAAGTTGTGCATAGCTGTTTAAACTGAATTAAGCCTGGTAGACTTCCGTTCTGGGAAGCAGAACTACAAAAACATCTCCTGAAACCTCAGACGTCCCAGTTCACGGGTACGGTGCCCCTCCCGGTGCCCGGACAAGCTCTCCCTTCCCGTGCCCGGACAAGCTCTCCCTTCCCGTGCTCCTCCCGGTGCCCGGACAAGCTCTCCCTTCCCGTGCCCGGACAAGCTCTCCCTTCCCGTGCCCGGACAAGCTCTCCCTTCCCGTGCTCCTCCCGGTGCCCGGACAAGCTCTCCCTTCCCGTGCTCCTCCTGGTGCCCGGACAAGCTCTCCTTCCCCCCAGGTTCTGCTCCTCCTAGCAGCTCACAGTAATTATGGAGAGGAAGTTAAGAGATATCTGAGACTGACTTTGCAAACTGCCAAGTTAAGTTGTGCATAGCTGTTTAAACTGAATTAAGCCTGGTAGACTTCCGTTCTGGGAAGCAGAACTACAAAAACATCTCCTGAAACCTCAGAGGCCACATAGAGGTCTCGCTTTATTGGCCTCTGGAGAGGTGACCAGGAGAAGTCACTAGCCTTGGGAATTCAGAGACTGACAGAAATTCTTCCGTCTCCTTGGGAATTACAAGTCAATTAAATGATGCTTGCTGAAGCCTCTGCCACAAATTGTAAGAGACATTAGAGAACAAGCTTTCTAGCTTCAAGATAGGAAAGTTTCACCCAGCTTCACGTGATATAATGAGAAATAACACCTTGCTACTTGTGCTCTAATCCCCACCCGCAATGAGATGGCTCTGGCTTTGTAAGTCTGAAGCAAGCAGCTACATTGGTCTAATCTAGACCTTTTTTTTTTTTTTTTTAATGCCTCCAGTGCTTCTACATCCCTCATCACTGCAGGTATAAAAGCACCTTCAAGAGAGCCTCTGTGAGCCATACCCCTCTGTTGGGAGCTTCACGCTCTCAGCAGCAAAGACAGTAGGAAACCACCTTTGCTGGCCGGCTAAAAAGAAACGTAACAGGAACGTATCCAAAACTGCTAAATCCACCACTGAGCAAACACTGCTTCTGCAACTTAAAAGGTGACCCAGTACTTCCTGAAACACTGCTAACTGCTAGCAGTGTTGAAAACTCTGCCTTTTGCAATCCATTCCTTAAAGAATTAGTGTTAGATAAACAAGATCTCACCATAACTTCAATATAAACTGGAGACAAATATGTTCAATTATTGAGGAAATAACAAATATTACGTTCTAAAAAGTGTTCTATTTCAGCTAAAAATTTAAAGTGCATATCCTGTATTCACATACCCTGATACATACACTGATCACAAAATCCGTAACAAACATGGACTGATCTGAATCAAATCAATCAGTACAGTTCACTGCATTCTTTAATCTGTACGATCACAAGTTCCTATTACAAGGCCATGACAGCTATATAATCCAATATCTCACAGAAGAGTAAATATTAATCTCAAATCATGGTAAGTAATTTAGTTTGTCATTTACAGAGCATCTAAGAACTGCCTACAAAATCCCTCCTCAAACACTGGCTGTCTGTCAGGAAGAACCGGTGTCATTTTAGAACTTGCAAGGGGCAGCACAGGCATTACCGGGCTCCAGCTTTCGCCAGCCCAGCAGCAATCCTGGGCACTCACCCCGGTGCCTCAACCGCTCCTGTGCAATGCCGCTGACCCCCAGAAGCCCTTCACCTTACAACACAGGCCAAACAGAAATAACAAAAGCAGAACTGTCTCAGAAGGAGTACATAGTTTTTAAGGACTGGACAGCAAAAATGGCTGATTGTATAACTTAGACTGTTAATTAAGTCGGCTTGCATCTTCTTCAAGCCTCAAAGCACTTTCAGTCGGTATTCTCTGAGCAGCCAGCTTCACCAGGACTTGCATCACTGCACCCTTCTGACGAAATTGGACACAGACTGAAAACAAGAATTGACTGCACTAACATTTGAACTTTAAAAAACCAAAAAAGTAATAACTGAAAGAATAATGAAAGCTTCACATCACTTCCAACTGGTCAAACGTCAGGCAGCCCTGGCAGCCAGATGGGGAAGGCTGGATAAAAGCAAAAAACAAAGAAACAAAAAAAACCCAAACAAAATAAAAAAATTCTCTGTAAGACTGTAAGAATATCCATACTGTGCAGAGTAAAAGTACTTCCTAGCTGGTATTCTAACAGTGGACAGTAGCAGAGGCTTATGGGAAGCACATAAATAACAGAGGAAGCATGAAATGATATTTTCAATGGTGCATACTTCCAGTTGTCGGCAATCATGGAAGATGTAGGAGTTCCTGAGTCCGAAGCTGCATTCAGACTGCCATACTTGCACTGTGCTGAGAAAGCAGTCCCTTGTGTTCACTCTAAATTTCTTGCACAGTGGACACAAGACAACTCAAATGGGCTCAAAACAAGTACAAGCAATATAGCCCACACTCAAAATCCATGATGTTTGCATGATGTCTAGCAAAAAAGGCCCCCATCAAGCAAGCTTTCTGCTTACCTCATAAAAGCATCAAAAGCTAATGAGAAAAACATGAATAAGTGGGAGAGACACCAGAAGGAACGTTTAATAAGAAGACAGGAGACATGAGCCAGACAGAATGAATGCAAAAGGAACACCCTAAACAGCACCCAGATACAGATCACAGGGCTTCCAGACCATGTCAACAGACACCTATAATCAGCATCAAAAGAACTCGGGCCCTCATTCTTATTCATCCTAAAATGCCTTCTCATCTAATCTACGCCGCTATTCCACTCATTCAAATGAGGGTAATCTGCAACCTGTGTCCCTGACAGAGGGCTAATTCAACCTGAACGCAGTTTCTGGATAAGGATACAGGGCAGCTGCACTCTACCCAGATTGTTCAAGGGATTGCTGCAACTCTCAGCCTTCTGCAATGTGGCTGACATTACAATTAATAGAAAGGTTTAATCTATAGACCAAGAGAACCCAGCACAATAATGAATTCCCGTTCCTGGGAGAGGCCCGTCAGAGACAGGAACACAGGACTGCATGCCAGGATGCCTTTCAGGTAGAGATAACCTGTTTTTGTTTTATGCTAGTTATACCAGTGACAATTTACCTAGGTGACCTTAAGTCGGGTAAAGTTTGGTTCACCTAGATATATATCTTTGCTATTTGATACTGAGCAGACACATTTCCTCTTCCTTAATAACCAGTCAATTTTGCAGCGTTACTTACGGAGAGGAGGTCCAAAGAGCACAGTGTCCAGAGCTTTCAGCTGCAGCTTCTGTCTGTGGCTTCGGTCTGTCATTTTCAGAACAGTTCCCATCATGGTAGCATTGTTCACTGCTAACCTGTAAAAGAAGTAGTATGCATGGCCCTATCAAGCTGGAATAACCACCAGCCAAAAATTAGTAACCTGACAACTACAGGTGGAAGACCAGAAAGCTGCCTGATTACAGTACCAAGGCAAAAGAAATTCCTCAACAAATATGTTGCCTTTGATACAGAACAACTCTCTCTCTACCAAAGAGTTAAAAAGCAGTGTCTTTGGCTTTAATTGGAGAGTAAGAAGAAAAAGTAAGGCCATTTTTATTAAATTAATCCTGATCCTTAATAATTAAATTACTGACTCCCTAACAAAACTGGTCTTTTCAGTGTTGTACCAGCTGTCATTTTTTTTTTAATCAAATCTATACTGTTTGCCTTTGACATCTTATTTCACAGACCATAAGGATATATTTCTTATATGGAAGAAACACTGGACATACCATACACTGCCCCAAACACCTTATTTTATTCCCAGTTTAATCCCTTCTCTGCAGTCAGTTTATAGGCCCCTTTTCAGTGAGAATAACCTTGACCCAAAAAAGCTGCACTGAGTTTCTTTAAAGTCTGTTATAAGATTAAGTGGACTAACTAAACAACAAGTTTTACTCAAGGAATGCAAGGCTTAGGATTCTTGTTTGCTAGAGCTTCAAGGAGCTTGAATTAAGATCAACATGTATCAGTGCGCAGTATTGTAGAAATACATAACAAGTAATCCTTAAACAAGGAACTTAAACTCTACTTAGATGCAACCAATAAGATAGAGATTATCTCTTTGTTAAGGATGAGGAACAATGACAGAGAAATTCAATGACTTCACTGAGGCAGAGCCAGGATGCAACCTAGAATTGTTTTGTTCCAGTTCAGGGTTTTAGCTCTAAACATGTAGCTTCAGGCATAGATAGTCCGTTGGATGAAGTCTAGGATACCAACCATCAAGAACAACATTTACCATCACACAATTCAGACTGCAACTTCTTTCACCCACAACAGATACACATTCACTTATGGCTAAAATCTCTGCAGAGATTATTAGTGCAAGACACTCTGCAGAGAAGATTAGTGCAGAGAAGATTAGTGCAAAGCCAAATCCTCAAAACATAACTGCAGTGGAGCAAGTATTATACTTGGCTGTGTACGCATAGATGAATTTCACATGATGTTATGAGCCACCTAAAATCTGTTTTTCTCTCTGGCATACATCCCAGAGGAAAATAAGACAATGCAGTGAGCACTGACCTGGGCATGGCATGTCCACTCAGCTGCAACTTTCTGAAGGTCTCTTCGTACTGTGGCAGCTCTACGTAGGTAATGAGCCACTGAACCACTTCTTCAACTGTCCAATTATACACTGTAGGAGAGGTAGAAAACAAGCAAGCAGCTTAATATTTCTCCTAAGCAACTGAAATCATCAAGCCAGCAATACCAGCATAACAAGTAGCTTCACTAGATATACTTCTCCTATCACCTTTAGCAAATAAAAAATATCTGCAGAGTTTAAATAGACACATTTTTATTAAGTAGGGAATGAAACGGGAAAGGCATTAAATCTTGCAGACTATTATAGAAGCAATAACCCTACCGGAATACTTACAGGTTCTCAGCCTCTACCTGGCGGCCTTGTGGGATTATTTTTGCTAGTCTGTTCTATATACATGATGATCTGCTACAGGTTTAGCATAAACAGACAGCAGCATAGAGTGCATAAGAACTGGTGCTTTCCCAACAGCAGCCTCTGACAATAAACTTTTCAAGGTGATTGATTTTTTGTGCTCATAGCTCACGAAAGAAAAACATGCAATGAGGCCATCAGATAAACAAGAATGCCTAAGGTAGTTATTTGCAAAGCTTCACTGCCACTGCCTTTTCTGAATCTGGAGTCATAGGCAGCTGTTTATAACGTCATAAGAACAGCCTGAGGCTGAGATTCTTTGAAGAGACAAGATTCAACGTATTCTCAGATGATAAGTAAAATCACCTTTTTCTATTTTCTATTTTATTACCCATTTTCTATCATTCTAATGATACTGCTTCTATCTCATTGCTCCCAACAAAGTACATTCTCTCCTACTGCACGCCTAAACCACAGAACTAGTAAATTCAGTTAACATATCTGACTACATGCTCTGCAAGTCTCACTAACTCCTCCAGATCTTTTGACCATGAGTCTTTTGTCTTTTTTGTCAGAAAAAAAAAAAAAAGACAAAGAAAAAAGAAAAAGCACGTGCAGAAACGCTCTAAGAAAACAGTTGTAAAGAGCCTGAGAAAGTGATTTGCCAGACGGCGTACAGCAGCCAGAGGGGAACCAGGTGAACTTATCTCCATAGTTGCCTCAACATTTTGTGCAGTTTCGCAGCATTCAAAGACATTAATTGTAAATCTAAGTGCCTTGACTTGAGGGAGTTCAACTTGGACACTTAGATGATACGTAAAGCTCCAAAATCAGAGTCGGTGGGACACTTTTTAAATGCCAGCAATGAGTTGTCCCACAAATACGAGAAATATCTCTCAGCTCGCTCAAATAAGCTAAAGGCTTTCAACAGAAAGATGACAGAACGCTGTTGGCTGTTTGATAGGAACTAAGAGTTAAGTAAAAAGTAGTAAGATTAAAAAAAAAAAAAGGTAATTTTCATGTAAGCTTGCAAGATGACTCACAGATACACGTTAGCAAACTCAAAGCCAGGAAACTGCACTAGTTTAAAAAAATTCCCTATAGTTACAGGCCCACAAACTACGGGAAACTAATTTTCTGTTGCCATAAGCAACACAGCAAAACTGAAGGTGTCCGGGAAAGGCAGGGGCCGAGTTTGTGGAAGCACATTCCTTACACAGTGGTACTGCCCACAGCCCAGGAGCAGCGGCAGCGGCGCTCCACCACACCAGGCTGGGCAGAGCTGACATCACGCGCTAGTTGTCACTGAACATTTAGCAACTGGGAAATGTGAACGGTGCCCAAGGGAACCGGAAATCAAAATGAGCTCTGAAGAACCGAGTGTTAAGGTCAAAGCCTCTAATCCCTACTAGTAAATGTCATGAGGTCTGGAATGAAGTATCAGAGTCCACCTCAAGATATAAAAATTGATGTTAATCTGGGTACAGAATCTGCTGCTGAAGAGCTAACTACAGAAGGCATTCACGCTCAGAGCTCAGATCCTCCTCTGCCTCAGTTTTCATGCACAAACCTTTCAGAGAGCAGCACTTTTAGCCAGCAAAGAGGGAGGGCAGACTCTGCGGGAGGAGGAGTGCTATGAAGACCAAGTCATTCCCACTAACGAATCCCCATCCTTGGGATAGTGTCCTTTCAAATCCTAAGCTGGAAAAAAGCCTCAGCAGGGCTGGACAAGGCCCTGAGCGGCCTGCTCGTACCGTTCCTGCTTTGAGCAGGAGGCTGGCACCTCAGGAGGTCCCTTCACAGCTACGGGACTCTGATATGGGGACTCACCTGCACAGGAGGAATGACTGGCAATGCTGCCTTCAGCCACCTGCAGCTTTCCTCCAAGTCTGAATGGGAGGATTTGAACCTCCCCATAACCAGGGTGGGGACTGGATCTTCCCAGTACAAAGATAAACAGTTTACCTATTCTGAATCTCATCCACTGACGATCCTTTACTTCAAAGAGCTTTGTAGAGCCAAACTTATTGAAGGTTTTACACATCAAATCCTACATGTTGTGAAAGCATCACAATCTTTTTTTTTTTTTTTTGATAATTCAGGGGCAGAAACAACTTTTTATTTTACAGATATGGACCAGGAACTACAGCAATGGCAGGTTAAAAAAATCACTTAACTTGAAAAGGAGTATATCTGTTCTGGACCTCAGTTAACGACAGACTTCTATAGTGCTTTTTCAAAGCTACTTTTTGTAACTCCACGGAGAGGGCCGACCCTTTTCTAGGAGTCTAATTCTACTAGTTTAAAACCAAAGTTCAGAATCCAAGATCAGACTCCATGAGACTATCCTTTAGAAACTAATAATTTATTTTATTAGCTAGATATCAAGAATGCTGAGAATGAAAAACAAAGTGCTAATTAAATCCAATAAGAGTAGAAAAAGTATGCCACAGAATCCAAGAATGATGCTTACTATGTATTTCAGGAACAGGAAGAGAGCAAGAGCAATTTAGTAATTAAGGAACACGGAGAGTATCGTGAGATGTTCTCCACCATCCCATAATGACTTTTATGCTTACTCAACTGACATGAAGATATACTTCAGGCAAAGTCATCTGTAAACTGCAGTACAATAGAATTTCTAACATGACGCCTTCCTTGAACACGCCAGACAAACTGATTTGTTGGTGTCGTTCTGACTTTTAAGTGGTTTGGACAAGAATTTTAAACATACGGCCTGCCCATTGCCATGGGACTGCGATTCTAATCCTGCAAAAACAATTCCAGAATCACGTACAGAATCACTTTGTTTTCAAACAGCCTTTCAAATGCTGTAGCTAAAAATTCATTTAGTATGTCAGGGATTGTGAGGAATTATAACATACTTCCAGCCACAGAGCTACACGGTGCTTGGAAAACACGGATACATCCTACCACTACATAATTCAAAGTCTAAGACAGACAAATCAAATACAAAAGGAACAGGACATAAATGAGAAATGGAAAGCTTCTGAGTTGATGAAGTGGTCAAAAGACTCGTATCCAATTTTTCAAGCAAAGTGTTTTGATAAGATTATCTTATTTTGGAGGAAAGAGGGAAGAGAAAAGACCAGAAGTAAAGGGAACACTGGCAACTAAAAATATCTGAAGCGAAAAATGTTCCGGGTCTTGAGAGCAACATGATAAGATGCATAAGGAAGAGAAAAGGAAAGCACAAAAGGAAGAGTAAAGTACAGCCATTGGCAGAGAGAGTCTACGTCACAGATCACAAAACTGACCCCAATACATGAAAAGGCCAAGTGATCTGAATCAAAACACCAACACGTTCTACAGTCAACACAGTAAATGCACCTAAGTTTTGCAAAAGTGTACTTTCACTCCTTCTATACTCTCCCTCATACTTTCATTTTCAAGGCACTGAAGCTTTTTCTGTTTATTACTAGTGATCTTAACTTAGAATACCATTCTGTATGAAGCCTAAAATTTGAGAGCAAAGTTTCTAAAACAGAAAGAAGAAAGAAAAATCAGTTTCAGGATCTCTCAAAACAGAAAATTGCTAAATTCTATTCAGGAAAAAAAAAAGAGACATGATGCCTTTCCCTAACCACTTCTGACACTTTCCCGATGCCTGGAAACAGCCAGTGATGCAAAACGCAAAGTGCGGGGCACCCTACACGCAGAGCAGCTATTGGGGTACTTTGAAGCTTCTGTAAAGATTTAGAAGCCTTAGGAAGTTTCAAGACTAAAAGAGATTAAACTTCCACCACCTCCCTACGTGAGCTACTCTAAAGAGTAATACCATTTCTTAAAAGCTTGCAGCTTATTTCTTCATCGAACGTGTTTATCTCCACTTTCAGTTTTAGGACGTGATCTACTTTCTTTCCACTAGATTAAGGAACACGCGAGGTTCAGAAAATGGTATCTTCTAATGGAAACACGATCTATAGGAAAACTCTCACGCAGCTCTAATATTTAGGATGCTACTACCCCATAAAAATATCTGGTGAGACTGGAGACTTACAGGAGAACCTGGAATAGGACAGCATGTTGGCTTTGTTTCAGCACACATTTACAGGGGCACCAGCAATGAAAGTTTTCATTTCTGACAACAGTTTATATTTCTATAGTCATATTTAGGTGTCAGAATTAACAGCTGGAAGAGAAAAAGTAACAAGAGCAACAAAATCTGGAAGGCACAGAAAAAGGAAGCTGGAAGAAATACTTGTAAAAGGCCGTAAAGGCAGAATAAGAATGTTTTTCCTGGGACGTACACACACACACTGCTGTCACATGGAATTCAAATTGTTTCCCACTTATATAGCAAGGGGTGCGCGTCTGTCTGTGTGTTGGGGGAGGCAGGGGAGAGAGAGATTCTGTTTTGCTTGCTTGTTTTTGTTTTGTTTTGTTTTTTACCTTCAGATGTCTTCCAGGCCTTCCAAAGGTCTTCCACACTAATGAGTTTGTCTTCGCCATGGAAGGTGCTGTGCTTGACTGTTGGGTCATGATAATTCAAGTCCTCCCTCAAGAACTAGGAGAAGAATAAACAGTGGGATTATTCTTTTGATTCAGCTTTTAGAGAGAGGAGGAACATTAAAAATCTCTCACCTGTCTTCCTTAATATTACAGCCACAGGTCTTCAAATAATAATTTCTATGGTAAAGTCCTAGTAACAGTCTGAGATGAAGCATCTCTCTCAAACCGCTGGTCTTTATTCAGAGCTCTAAGAGATTAAAATTACATCACCTCCCTAGGTGAGTTGTTCCAACAAATAATATCATCTGTTAAAGCCAGAAGCTTGTCTCTAGTTTGAATGTGTTTATCTCTACTTCCAGTTTTAAAATTTCAGTCCCTCTTCTTTTTCCTAGGTGAAGCAGCCCTCTGCCAGCAAAGATTTCTTCCCTGGGCCACACTGACAATACGCAAGTCACCTTATGCACTTCACAGATCACAGAATAGGTGGTGTTGGCAGGGACCTCTGGAGATCATCCAGTCCAACCCCCCCCGCTCCAGCAGGGTCCTCAGAGCACGTTGCCCAGGATCACGTCCAGGTGGCTTTTGCATATCTCCAAGGATGGAGACTCCACAACCCCTCTGGGCGGCCTGTGCCAGTGCTCAGTCACCCTCCCGGTAAAAAAGCTGTCCTCATGTTCTTAAGTCTCTCATTTAGAGAAACATATTTTCCTGCCTTCAAGTCATTCTTCCTGTTCTTTTCTGATCATTTTTTTCAAAGTCCTTTTCCGACAGGTCAGTATAAGACGAGGTGCCAGTACTCCCACAACGGTCACGTAAGTACTACGTAGAGAGGTACTACCTGACCTTTGTCTTGCTAGCGTAGCTAGCTCTGTAAGCTATGAGCCACTAAAAAAAAAAAAAAAACAACTTATTGTCACTAACGTCAGCACATAAAATTCACAATTCATTCCGGGAACACATCGGTCAGAGTAAAGTGTTCTCTTTTGTTCCCATCTCCCTCCAATCTCAGGAAAAGGCAGTTCCGAAACAGAAGACGTAAAAGAAAAGTGAACAAAATTATCAGGTGCTTGAAACAAGTTCAAGGGAGAGCGAGAAGGACTAACAAGAGTCGAGACTACACTGTACTACACAGGAGGAGGCCAGGCGATGCGAGGAAAGCAGAGCGTGTAAAAATCAAACAGAAGAAAAGAAAGATGATCACTCAGCTTACCTTTTGCCTAACATATTCAAGAAACTTGAAAGACAAATTTATATTTAAATTCCTCTTTTTTGGGAAATATTATGAATTAATCCAGTAAGTGATTAACATGTGGAATTCTTTATTACAAGCCTTTTAAGTTGAAGAGTGTAACAGAATTATATAAAAAAAGTCATCTACACATAAAAGATACTATTTCAATATTAGGTAGGGTATTACAAATATCTGTGTAAATTTTAACTTTCTAGGCTCTGCGAACCCGTTCAGAGCACTACCACAGCCATCTGCAGTTACTCCTAGCTTGAGCTTTTCACCTGTCTGCCCTCTTGCTTTCCAGCCTTTTCTCATCTTGCAAACAAACCCCGCTGACATTTCGGGCTTTGCCTAGGCTTAAAAACCTTTACCTTCCCTTAGTCCTCTAAAAACACTCCGACTGGCCCGAGTACTTCGCCACGCTGCAAGGCACTTTGAAAACCACGTTCTTCGTGCTGAACAGCTCTGCTGAGCTGCCGCTGAAGAACCTCGGCTGAGCTACCTTCAGGTTTTGAAGACAGAAACCCTGAAAATGAGAAAGTAAAACCAAACCATCATGTGACATCTCCTACTCCCTGCAGTTCGCTCCAGCCCAGCCTACACAGCTACGCCAGGGCGGCTCGAGGCCGGCCCTGCAGAGAGGGCCGAGCGCTGCGAGCTGGCAAGAGCGCCGGGCCCGACACGGGAGCAAGGCAAGAGGCCAGGTTTCTCTCTCGCACTCCTTTAACTTGTGACCTACAGGGGAATGCAGCAATGTCATCTGGTGCTACCACAGCGTGCTGCTAGAGCGGCTGCGAACTCCCACAGGGATGAAAGGGATCAGCTGTTGCTCTGTATATTTAGCTCAGGGAGCGCAGAAAGGAAAAGTGATCTCTTTCAGCTTTCCTTCAACGCACTATCACCAAAACAAACTTCCAAGGACTCTCAGAAGGGGACAGTGTTGCTGGAACGGGAACATCTCTACAAGCAAGCTGGAACCAGGATGCAGGGTGAGGCCATCAATTCCTCTGGCAAACTGCTAACCCGACTCCCTCTGCCCGCTGTCGGCATGAAGGCAGCGGCACAACGCGACGCCTTCGGGGAGTCGGGGCAGCTGGGCTGCACACATGGAAGTTCAATGAAACGCTAAAAGTGATTTTCCTTTTACTGTCTTCTGTGGAAAACAGCAGGAAAAGAAAAGTAGAAATACGGCAAGTTAGTCAAATTGTGCCTAGAACGGTGTGTATAGAGAGCTGATCCTGCCTAGAGGGGAGGATCCCTGAAGGTGTCCTGTGGTCCTTCTCAGCTCTGTTTTCCATGACGCTGTGCTGCATCACATTAGAAAATGGAAGGATGTTTTTCAGCTGAGCTGGGTATGGCAACTTTGGACATGCTATCTTCACATCTGTTAACATCGGACATGCATACTGCTAAAGGAGAGTTCTTCAGCTACCCATCAGCACTCGATGAATTCTACTATATTAAAGTCCCATCGGTGGCTATCAAACCGTATTTGTTACAATCTATTGCATAAACAATTTTCCGATTTTAAATTGTGTAGCTTTAATTTTTTTTCCAGAGGAGAGACTCCCCAGAGATTTCACATACAGAGATTACAGTACTGAACACACACATTTTGTATATGTTAGTACAGATAGATATAAAATAATCATAGGACTCCCAGATGTCCAAAAACATCAGGCAAAAAAAAAAAAAAAAACACTGCACAAATCTTGACCTACTTACAAACCATTAAAAGTACACTTTGAAACATTAAAAAGAGACTGCTGATCCCCTCCTTGAAGATATTCAAAGCCAACTTGACCAAGTCTCGGATAACCTACCTACTCTAGGTGACCCTGCTTGAGCAGGGGAGTTGGACCAGATGATCTCGAGAGGTCCCTTCCAACCTCAACCGTTCTGTGATTCTGTGATAACAGAATATAATCAACAAGACGCCTCAGCATCAAGTTCAATGAAAGATGAAATCAACATCTTGCTTTCATATGGATCAATGATCAACAGAATCACTATTGCAAAAAACAACGAACACGAGCAGTGATCACTACAGGAAGAATGAGTCAGTAGTTACTGTTCATTGTTAAGTTTTCTTTTATAATTTACCTGATTTCTCTATATAAGAATTATTTAACATTACCCAACACTCACACAAAAACCAGCTGTTGCACATCCTTCAGGAATTTCCCACTTGCTTAAGAACCTCTTCTACAGGCGTATGAGAAAAAAAGAGCAGATAACGAACAGTATAATGCTGCCGTGAAGAGGTATTTGCACTTGGGAGCAAACAGGTCTCTGTACAGACAACCAGGGGAATTACCGCAATGGGGCAGGGGGAGGGGGAATATATCTAAGTACGGCTCAAGTCATTTGCAGTTTTGACCTCAACAACAGCCCATTACACAAAGTTAGCTGCGTTTTATGCGGTAAATACTTCCTTTTATTTGTTTTAAATATGTTACCTAGTAAGTTAAAACGATGGGCAATACAAATGAAATTAAGGGATACTAAATCTTCATTCACCACTTCACTCATCCATTCTTTAAATGCATCTTAGACATCTCTGTCGTATCTTCACCTCAGTCACTCCTCCTCCTCCTGAACAGTGCACGCAGCCCCTGCTTGCATGACCGCCGTCAGAAGTATCGCCTCTGGCTAGCTGCAGTCTCAGACCCAGTACGACCCACCGCTCACGCGCGGTCCGGTCCTTCAGGTTTCCTTCGCAGCAATAAGCACTAGAGACACCGTGCGCTCTGAAGCACCAGGACGCAGCACCTCCAGAAGAAACCATTACAGAACCATCTCAGGCTTATCTAACTCCCTTAAACACAGGGACCCACATTTAACTCTACACGAGAGAATTTCTCCAGCTGCCAAATACTGCGACCAGTAGATTCTTCTCCACTCTAACAGGGGTAAGGACTTGGGGTTGCACATATTCTTTGGTTAATACACAAACCAGTTGTCTCAGTGGCTGCAAGCATACTCAAAAATGAGCAGTTCCATGAGCAAACAAAACCTCTGAAGCGTGATCTTCTGGAGATTTCTCTGTCTTTTAATCTGCAGTAACTGCAACTACCCGCACGTTCTCTGCATCTCCCCACAGAGCCTTCAGATCCCTCCCACATACTTGAATTCTCTCCTCCCTAAATGTCATCATCTTTCCTTAATATCAACTACCGTACGGGCAAGAGGTGACACGCATGCACTGACTCATTAGTATGTAAGTGGTAAATGACCAAAAAAGACTAAGTAACTGCAGAGTTCACAATACACCTCTTCCTTCAGTGAGTACGCTAATTTTAATGTCTTTTCTGAGCCACCGATTTTCATGAAAGCTGCAGGAAACTTCTTATTCGCAAAATCTTGTTCTCACTAATGTGACTAAATAAGACAATAGGATGAAAAGTTAGAGAAGATGAGCAGTAACAAAAACCTCGTTTCCTTGTGAAAGCAGGCTAAAAGCATCTCAGAGGCTGCAATTTGTCAATTTAATCCTAAAACAGAGTTGCCCCTAAACAGCTGGAGCTACCTTTTGAGTGAATACGAAGATCAGAATTAGATCACTAATTAAAAGATTTCCCCATGAGAGAGAGAGTTCTTTCATTTTAATTGGGGTCACTGGTGCCATCTTAAACTTTACTGAAAATTCACTTCCAGAAAGGAAAAATGCAGTGATGGTTTAAGGACAGCATAAAGTTGTTGGACACGTTTTCACCTACCTTACCTATAATTAAAATGTTAAAAGAATATAGTTATGATATCGCGCTCGCGCTCTCTCTCGCTCTCTCTCTCTCCAGTCAGGTCTTTTAATCCAAACAAAATGT